TGATATCAAACTGTATTACAAGGCCACTGTAATCATAACAGCCTGGTACTGGCATAAAAGCAGGCACATAGACCAATGGAACAGAACAGAGAGCCCAGAAGTCAACCCAACTCTCTACAGTCAATTAATACTCAACAAAGGGGGCAGTAACATAAAATGGAGTAAAGATAGCCTCTTCCACAAATGATGTTGGGAGAACTGGACAACTACGTGCAAAAAAAAAAAAAAAAAAACCTTAAACACAGACCTACACCATACGCCAAAATAAATTCAACGTGGATAAAAGACTCAAATATAAGCCTTGAAACCATTAAAGTCCTAGAGGAGAACATTGGCAGGAAAATCTCAGATATTCCTTGCAGCAACATTTTTACTGATATGTCCCCTAGAGCAAGGAATATAAAGGAAAGAATAAGCAAATGGGATCTCATCAAAATAAAAACCTTCTGCATGGCTAAAGAAAACAGTATTAAATTTAAAAGACAACCAATTGTGTGGGAAAACGTATTTGCCAGTGATACCTTAGACAAGAGTTTAATCTCCAAAATATACAAAGAACTTACAGGACTCCACTCTAAGAAGACAACTAACCCAATTAAAAAATGGGAAAAGGACTTGAACACACGCTTCTCCAAGGAGGACATACAGAAGATCCAGAGACACACGAAGAGATGCTCAATATCGCTAGCTATCAGAGAGATGCAAATTAAAACCACAATGAGATACCACTTAACAGCAGTCAGGATGGCTATTATAAACAAAACAACCAACAACAAATGTTGGAGAGGTAGTGGGGAAAAGGGGACCTTAGTTCACTGTTGGTGGGATTGCAGCCTGGTATAACTATTATGGAAAACAGTATGGCATTTTCTCAGAAAATTAAAAATCAACCTGCATTTTGACCCAGCAATTCCACTGCTATGATTATATCCTATGAAACCTAAAACAGCAATTTCAAAGAATCTATGTTCCCCCATGTTCATAGAAGCACAATTTACAATAGATAAGAGTTGGAAGCAACCTAGGTGTCTGTCAGTGAATGAATGGATCAAAAAGTTTTGGTATATATACACAATGGAATTCTATGCAGCAGAGAGAAAGAAGGAGCTACTACCCTTTGCAACAGCATGGGTGGAACTGGAAAGTATTATGCTGAGTGAAATAATCCAGGTGTTGAAAGACAAATACCATATGATCTCACCTTTAACAGGAAACTAAACAACAAAACAAACAAGCAAGCAAAATAAAAGCAAAGACACTGAAATAGAGAACAAGAGGACAGCGACCAGAGGGGAGAGGGGAGGGAATTTAAGGGGAAAAATTGGAAGGATTTAGAGGAACAAGTATAAAGGACACAGGGACAATAACTAAGGGGGTGGAAATGGGAAGGAGTTGAGGAGCATGGGGCAGTGTGGGCTGGGATGGGAGAAATAGACAGAAAACTGTACTTGAAAAATAACTAAATAAAAATATTTAAAAATCTCTTCTCATTGAAAGAAAAATTAGTGAATTACAGTGGTAGGTATTGGTTCGATTGACCTTTAATTCTATTTTTTTCCTGGATACATGATCGAGTTGCATATTTCTATAAGCAAGTTAAAACTCCTAACTACTTGCTTTTACAAATGGAATATAAGTGCAAAGACCATGTGTAACTTCTAGACAGAAGCCATTAAGAGACAATGTGTACTAATGTGCCCTTCCGTTCCACTGTGGGAAGGGCTCAGAAAGTTCTATTTCCCAGGGGCCCTATTGTGAGGCAAATTTGAGACAAATTTAAAGTCATAATGAGGATTGTACCTTTGTTTTACTTGTTCATTTTGGATTTTTTGTTTAAGCCATTGAGATTTATCATTGTTTGCACCACAGGATAGTCTGGCCTCTTCTGGTTAACACAATGACTTCTGGTGTTTTGAAAAGCATAAAACATTAATATTCTACTTAACTTTTAAACATTAGGTCAAATAAAACATTTAACAACAACATATACACTCTCTGCATTTGTCTTTACAATGTATTCATGTAAATTAATGCATTATTCAGAAAGTTCAGCGGTAGTTTATGCTTTATCTTGAAGAAGCTTATTGATCAGTTTTATGGTGTGAAATGATGTTCTTAAGTGCAATGTGTTTATGGCAAACTGTGTTATCCAATATGCAAAGATGTTCATTACTTGTAACAGATTTCTTCACACTCTTGTTCATGATAACTAAATGTAGTTTAGAAAACTGAAAAAGTGACCATTTTAAATTAGTCCTAAATTAAATTCAACCTCACAATCAAGAGATGTTTTTTCTTTTTTATTTAATTATTGTTCAAGTACAGTTTTCTGTCTTTTACTCCCATCCCAGCCCACCCCCCCAGTGCTCCCCACCTCCCTCCCATTTCCACCCCCATAGTTGTTGTCCATGTGTCCTTTATACTCGTTCCTGTAAATCCTTCCCCTTTTCCCCTGAAATTCCCTCCTGTCTCCCCTCTGGTCACTGTCCCCCTGTTCTCTATTTCAGTGTCCTTGTTTTTATTTTGGTTGCTTATTTGTTTTGTTGTTTAGCTTCCTGTTAAAGTAAGAGATGTTATTTTCTTTATTAGGTGAAGGAAATGAGAGTAATTTTTCAACCTAGAATTCAAAGACAGTCTGCTGATTTTGTTTACTTCGCATGTGTCATATCCGTTTTGTTCCACATACACAGAAAGAGAGAGAAAGAGAGAGACTGAGAGAAGCGACAAAGGGAGGGAGAAAGAGAGAGAGAGAAACAGGGATCCTTTGCCTTCCCCATGCACCTGACTAGAGATGAAACCGTCAACCCAGGCCTGTGCCGCAACCAACTGAGCCATACCAGCCAGGCTGGGACTTGTAAAAGAGTTGCTGGATTGGTCCGTGTGTCTTTCCCATACTCTAACCTTCCCTTTATTCCTTTTCAGAGCAATTTTCATTAAATGAAACATGTTTAAAGCATGTTGCTGGCTTCCTTTTGAATTTCCATAGAGGGGAATCCAAACTCTTATGCCTAACTCACAAGACCTTGTTCCAATGACCGCACCGCAGGCGTGTTCTACCTGACTGTAGCCCTCCTCTTTTCTATACTCTATATCCAACCATACTGAGATCATCACAGATCTCATAAGAGGTCAAGATGTTTCAGTCTTCTGAAATTTTGTTCACCATACTTCCTGTGCTAACATTACCATCTGCCAGGAACACGTGTCCATAAATACAGTTACGTCACCTTAAACATTCAGGTATTATTGCCACCTCAGTATGACTAAATTCACACCACACTACCTGCTTCCTGTTCTTGTGCTTTGTCCCCATTTGTTTGCCCTAAACTTGGACTTAGTTTAGCCCCATCTCAGTTTCAATGGAAACGTGTGCTGATGACAAATAAATTTAAACTCATAACTGTGTCGTTCTTCTTTCCTCCCGGAGTCTCCACCTATAACAACTTTCCCAGGCACAGCCCCCACCCCTCCAGGATGTGTTCCATTCCAGCCTCTCAGTCTGAATCCCCACCATCTCCAAACATGGCTGGCCCTTTAGAACTCTCATGTTTGCTCTTTTCCTCCCTTCATATTCATTTTCCTGAATGTTATCCTTTTAATTCTTCATTATTTACATAGTAAATTATTCCTTGTACATGATTTTTTTAATTATAAAATTAAAATTAATATTTTCATCTTTCTCTTTTGCTCCTCATCTATTCTGTAAGAGATTACCACTATTTACTATATCTATTTTTATTTTTTTGTGATTATGGCCAGTATAACACATTAAATCAAGTATTATACTTAATAGTAGGTTTTCTACTATTCTATTTTAGGCTTCATTTAACTTAAACTCTATGGTTATTCGTTTTTTCTATTTGTGAAATGTTTTAGTTTATTTTGTTTTTGAATAAAATGAGCATGGGTTCTCATCGTAATAGGTGAAACAAAACACAAACAGTGTAAAAAGTTAATACTGTCTAACCTTTGTTTCCACCCCTGTGGCATAATCAGTCTTAGCAGATTGCTGTGTTTCTCTGCCCATTCGTCTGCAGTCACGCAGTCCCATGGAACATATGTGCACATCAGTGGGAGTGGCAGACATTGGTAGTCACTCATCCAATCTTCATTTTTCTCTTCTACCTTGCAAATATTTAATATAATATTTCTTTCAGTTAGGGACATAATGTGACATACTTCTCAACAGTGTCAAGAATGTGGATGTCAACTAGGTGGGCTTTTTGAAAAGTTTTTAAGGAGACAGAGGCTCAGCTCCCCCTTCTTAAGCTTGTCTTTTGAACTTTTCTATTATAAGATAGCTCTGATAGTTTCTGGTCCTTGGAGATGGCTTGGTAAACTTTTCTCGAGTTGGTAAACTACACAAATATTGAGAAAATATTTGGAAAATTGTTAATAGCTGCTAAGCAAAGACATTAGACATTCTATTTTTATCACGAGGACTGGTATCTGCCTATTACAATGAAACAGAACATAGCATGATTTACACCACCAGCTGTATCTGCAAGCTCTACACTGTAGAAAAATGAATCATGCATTATGAAATAGAATGTGGATAATATTCATTTATGATTCTTGGGATACAAAGTTAAAGTCTTGGTGTCTAGCAAGTTTTTATTTCAATTATTAGTTATTTAATGAGAAAAATTATATATTTGCCTTGTGGAATTCAAATAGCTGTTATTGCAGAACTGTGCATTTAATGTTGAGATTCTGTTGATGCTGAGTACATTAGCTACATTTCTATTTTTCTTTAGTGCAATGACAACTTTAATAAATAAGTACAGAAATACTCACTTGTATTTAATGATAATTTATTAATCTAGCTCCACCTATTTCTACTTGCCTCTAATTTCTTATCTATTTCTTATGACTAGGCCTATGTGTTCTGATGTGAAGAGCAACATAAATTACACATTTAAATCAAATAATTACTACGTGTATGTTAGCATGAGCATTTATTATTCAATATTCTTTTAACATAAGATGATGATTTCCTTGTGTTCACTTCGGCAGCGCATACACTAAAATTGGAATGACACAGAGATGATTAGCCTGGCCCCTGCTCAAGGATGACGTGCAAATTCATGAAATGTTCAATATTTTTTTAAAAAGATGTTTTTCTTGATTCAGCCTTTATAATTCCATGGTTTTTTAGTGGATTTGTTTTTAATGTAGTGGCGAAGGGTAAATATAAGCTACCTGTAGTCTCAAAACTTAAGATCAGGAAGGGGGCATTTTTTCACTTAATTTATAACATTAAAAATGTGGCTTCTAATGTTTATAACGCAAAACCGGTGTATTTCAAGTTGATATAATATTGAAGTAAAGTCAACATATTTTATTTTACATGTGAATAAAACTTTTTTCTTGTCTTTCTTTTCTTGTTGACATTTGTTTCTACCATAATTGTCTTTCCTATTTAACTTTTATGTCTTGACTTTTAACTTTAGTTACTACTTATGAACCATATTCTCATCTCGATTTTATTTATTTTTACTAATCTCTTTTTAGTCAAATATATGTGTATATACTTTCAGAGTTCTAGCAAGTCCAAAAACTAACTTCATTTGGGTGTTGCATTTGACAAATAGAATCAGAATGAGAGAGAACTGACCTGACTTGATGACCTGAGCCAAACAAAAGAATGCCAAGAGGCCACCATCTGGCCTCCCAGTTTGGGAGCAGTCAAAAAAATTATGAGGTCAACATCATAGGGCTTCAGTTAATACTATAGTAAGTTGTGAAAATTACTGTTTAGCTTCTGAGCAAAAATATTTCAATTTATCAACTGGGAGGGCTAAAACTTAACTGAATGTTTGGATGGAATTCTAAAAGTTACACCAAGTGCTTTATAAATTAGAAAATACTCCAAACAGTTTCTACATTGTTATTATTACTATTAAGGATACTAAATTAAGAGAAAAATCAGGAAGTCACAGATATTTAGAGAGATAGCCTATGTGTGCTGACCAGATTCTTGGTGTAGTAAGACAGTGTAGTAGAATAATAGGTGAATTCTCTGAAGACTCTGGAATTGGCAGAGTAGTCAACAGTTAGCTTGATGGATCCCAGGGCAGTTAGGTGTAGTAATCTTATTGTCTAGTGAAGTAGGCAAATGCTGAGATGGCCCTCACTGAATCATGCGTGCAATTGTCTACCTTTACAGTGCAATAGAACCCGTGACTTGCATCTAGCCAATAGAATATGACAAAAGTGAGATAGTCATCCCATGAGTAGGTTATATAAGAAAACACTTAGCTAACTGGAGTGAGAGACTATCCTGTTGAATTTGAAGAAGAAAGTGGCTATCTTGTGAGTGTCTGTGAGCAGGCCACATTGCTGGACTTTGAGAGTTAAGGGGCGTTTAGGAGCTGTACAGCCCCCAGTTAACAGACAGCAAGAAAGTGGGGCCTCTGTCAATATGACAACAAGGAAGTGAGTTCATCAGTAACCATGTGAGTGTGGAAAAGAATTCTGAGTTTTTGGGAAGAAGGCCACCTGGCCGGCACATAGACTGGCACTTTGTGAGACTGGGAGTAGAAGTCTACACTCCTGAGCTGAAACTTATGAGGCAATAAAGATATGTCGTATTCAGCCACTAAGCTTTTGATGATGCTATGCGCCTAGAAACTAACGCATGGAGTCGTGAAATGTTTTGCTTTTCAGATTTTATTTATTTATTTAGAGAGAGGGGCTGGGAGAAAAAAGAGACAAACATCAATGTGAGAAGGGCCTTACTTTATTCTGTTAAGGTGATTCATAAGTAATTCACAATTGGTGGGTATTTGACATCTTTAATCTGGCTCTCTCACATTCACAGAGGAAGCTCTGGGGAGAAGTGGGCCCACCACCCGCGACTTTCCATTCAACCCCTCTCATTCCCGCCTTGTCCTTGCCTACAGAGCTACTTCTTCCTACAATAAAAAGCAAAATTTAATGATTAAAAACATATCTGAAAAATGTGGGTTATGCGGGGGTTTGTGTGTGTATGTGTGTACACCTTGCAAGTGAGAAAGTTTTGGACAACCTTAAAAAATCCCTGTGGGCTTTCGGAGAAAAAGATTGGCTCAAAGTTAAAGATTTTATTCTTCCCCACACTGAACTAATGAAAAGGAACCATTGTAAAAGCTACAGAAGGTGGACTGAAGGAGCATCAAAGGAGCAAAGCCCAGGCAACAGAATGTGGTATGAGTAGGGTGTTAGAACTGCAGAGCATCCCTGGAGAACCTGATTTCTTTCTTCATTCCCAAGTGACCATTTGATCTCTACCCAATAGATCAAATGACTTTCTTTTTGTTGGAGTCTTTCTCAATTCTCTTCCCCCGCTCCCAGCTCTAGAGTTCATAAAAAGTGGACTGATAATGAGGGGATCGCTATTACCTGGGTGAGGAAAAATGATAAGGATGGTCCTCCCACACTTTCATGTCTGTTTCTTACTAGATCATTGAAGCAGTTGAATACTCCAAAGAAACCCCAGAAATGAATAAATAAGTCTAATAGACTCTCATTTATTGCGTGTTGCTTGAGTCACACTGCACATTTATTTCAAAACACAGATGTAGACCCCACTAGTAAAGGGCACATACAGCACAGTTTAAAAATGTATGTATGAAAATTACTATTTTCCTTGAAAGAAAAGTCACTCATATTTTCACATGAATTACAAGTTGAAAATAAGGCTTTAAATTTTTTTCCTGCATGATAAACCTCGAAATAAATAACATTTCATTCTTTATAATTTTCTTAATAATTTTTAAAATAAAACCATAAGCATTATAAATTTTTACTTTAAAGTTTTTAAATCTATACTAATTATTGGGTGAATGTCATTTGTGGTCACACCCATTATTTATACATCAGACATAAATTTTATATATAAGTACATCCACCATGTAAAAATAATTAGTGCTTTATTTAATCTAAACACAAATCGCAAACACTTTGAACTGAAAGTGTTAAAACTGTGTTTCTTCAAAATCTGGCCTGAAGATGATGAATACTGTACATATAAAACTATTTGTTTCAGTAGAACATGAGACTTCTTCAAGTACTCATTCTAGGTCTAGGTATAAAAACTCTATCATACAAAATTTAAAGACACAAGGCATAATTTGAACTGGTTCACTTATCCTTTCAAAGATAAGAATAGCCGTATGTATTAAAAGTTTTCTAAATGAAGTCATCGGTTTATTTATTCATTCACATATTCATTCAGTCCCACCTTATATGAAAGGATAAGCTAGCTTCACGGACTTCTTAGTATCCAAAGGGAAATAATGTCTCTAGAAATACCATATTTGACTCTTAATCAATTTATTAACCTTTTAAAATTGGCATCTGTGAGAGACATTGACAAGCCAGTGATGTGTTCGTGATTAAGCATTTATTTTTTTAATTAATTTATTTATTTTTTAAATTTTATTTAGTTATTTTTCAAGTACAGTTTTCCGTCTATTTCTCCCATCCCAGCGCCCCCCTCCCCCATGCTCCCCACCTCCCTCCCATTTCCACGCCCCCCCCCTTAGTTTTTGTCCCTGTGTCCTTTATACTTGTTCCTCTAAATCCCTCCCCCCCTTTCCCCCTTAAATTCCTTTTCCTTTCCCCTCTGGTCATTTAAAGAACATTTATTAATATTCATATCTCACTGAGGAAAAAGGAAGAAGAAAATCACCTTGTGTTTCAAAAATGAAATCTTGAAAGATTCCCATCTGGAACCGGGTGAGAGTCAGCACTGGACATAATCAGCTTTTACTGTTACTTGTTTATTGTCTGTCTTCCCACTAGAGGGCAGGGCCTTCTAAGTTTTACTAACCGCTATATCTTCAGAGCAATTAGTAGGTGCTCAAAAAATATATTTTTGTATAAACAAATTGCTTAATTCATCAAATGTATTTGATCCAACTCTTGGGCCCCGCGTTAAATGACACGTTTTATTTAACTTGGCCCACGTTCCCTCTGAACTGCACTGCTGATCCCACACACACCAGGAAGTTCCTCGGTTTGTCTTTTGAGGTTATGCTTTGGATATGCACAGTTGTCAGATTGCTGTAAGGTTGGGACATCAGAGAAGCGCAAGGATCTCCACTGAGCCAGCAGAAACACAACTTTTGTGAAGGCACGCTGGCTGCAACTTCAGGGTTTACAATCAACTGGGTTTTATCCGCACTGTGATGTGAACAGCAGGTGACTCAAAACATCAATTGTCCAATCAGCCCCGTGGAGACAGTGTGCAGCCGGCCTATTTTACAGGAAAGTACAACGAAGATGGTGCAGAAAGCACAGTGTATCTATTGATGGAGTCGCTTCTGTTTCTAGTACAGTAACCTAGAAAAATGTAACGTTTAAAAATATACTAAGATTTCAGTCAAAATTCTCCCTTAGTATTTCAAATAAATAGTCTCCCAAAGACTAAGCTAAAATCAATTTTAAATAGTCCTTGTTTAACTAGTATGCATTGCTGAGAGAGCAGATTACTCGTGAGGGTTTTTCCATTCGCACATTCAGCAAGATCGTACAGAACTTGAAAGGGTGAGGGAATAAACTGTACTGACTTTTGAGAGAAGACATTTCATGCAGTGAGAAGAAGAAGCACAAGGGCACTGACATCAGTCCTGATATGTTTGAGGTACAACCAGGAGACAGACGGGTGAGCAGAAGCTGATCAGTGGCCAGGATGGGGTAATGCACGGAAGGAAGAGGGACCACCGTGGAGCTTCACTGGGTGTGTACTCTGAATGAGACGAGACAAAGGTGGAGCGTCTTGAGCAAAGGAGAGATGGATTTGCCTCTGTATTAGGGACAATCCAAAGCCTGTGGATAGAAACAGAGAGACCAGTTAAGAGGTATTGTTATAATTCAGTTAAGAGATTGATTTTCCAAATGGCTAGCCAGCTACCCAACAACATTTGTTTAAAAACAAAACATAATTTTTCTATCGATATTTAATGCTCTCTTTCCTTCAACTGGATAGAATTAGCATAATATTTAAAACAATTTAACATAGTCCTACATATAGAAGTAGAATAAAGATTTATAAGCATTAAAAAATAAAGTCTTATGATTTTGATTGTAATACTGAATTAAGAGATTAGTGAAAATGGGCAG